TACTACTGTTTTGAGTTTGTTTGAAACAGAGACGTGGAACATAATGGTTAAGAGCAAACCCAAAACCTCTATCAACCTCATGCAGTAGTATATTGATAAGCTTTTTTTATTTTTATTTTTGAAAGTCCTGAGTAGCTCTAAAACAGTTGTTATTTTGTGCTTAATAAATTTTTCTTGCTTTTTTCTGCCTGAGATGTTGCTGCAGTACAGTGTTCATGGTTTTACTCTGGTCCAGACCAGAGCAGAGAGGATTCATGGTCCGAACCAAGTGGATCAGAAGAAAATCCACTGGAGGAATGCTAACTTTTTGAAAAATGCTAATGAAGCATTTAGCATTTTACTTTGGACTAGAGCAGAGAAAATGGTCTGAACCAAGCTGCTCCACCTTTAGACCTGTCCTGCTCCACCCAGAGGCTACTCCACCTCTAATGCTGTGACCCGTCCTGCTCCACCCAGAGGCTACTCCACCTCTGCTACTGCGACCTGTCCTGCTCCACCCAGAGGCTACTCCACCTCTGCTGCTGCAACCTGTCCTGCTCCACCCAGAGGCTACTCCACCTCTGCTGCTGCAACCTGTCCTGCTCCACCCAGAGGCTACTCCACCTCTGCTGCTGCAACCTGTCCTGCTCCACCCAGAGGCTACTCCACCTCTGCTGCTGTGACCTGTCCTGCTCCACCCAGAGGCTACTCCACCTCTGCTGCTGCAACCTGTCCTGCTCCACCCAGAGGCTACTCCACCTCTGCTGCTGCAACCTGTCCTGCTCCACCCAGAGGCTACTCCACCTCTGCTGCTGTGACCTGAAGGGCTGTTGCTGATTATTTCGATTATTATGTTTTTAGAATGATCAATTTTAATTGTTATTATTTGCTGCTACTGGACACCTGAATTTCTTCTATGGGGGATCAATAAAGTATCTATCCATCTACATTTAGGATGTATAAAAATATATCCACTATGTGTTTGGTGAAGGCTAAAGCATTAGGACAGAGTATGGTCCTGTCAGTAAGAGTTTTAAGAGTTTTTCCTTGTCGATGCAGGGACAGTTAGTGTCCAACAGAAAGGATTGGTGATGATCAGGACACTTTAGCATTCTACAACATGTATGGACATTTTCTTCTGTGTGTGCTTTATATTCTCCATGTGTTTTGGCTGTTGATTCTCTGACCTGTGTTGGTGATTTCAATGGTTTTGTTAAGTCCTCTGAGATGACTTCTGTTGTGACCTAGGGCTATACAAGTGTAGGGTAAGAAAATGTCGATATCACACATAACTTAAGTTATGTACCTGATATCGGAGAATTGGATAAAAACAACCATGTAATAAATACAATAATTGATCATAGCTTTATTTAGGGGCACCAGGGAATAACTCCCAACTGTTAACGTGCATATGACGTAACAATATCAATTAATTGGCTCATTTATTGATTAAGTAATCTCATGAGTCCTTTTATTATTTAATTAGCTAATTAGTCCAATTCTCTTCAATAGAATCTGAAGGTAGTGAATTCTTTTACAAATCAGTGACCCAATTTCTGGAGTTAAAAGTACAAATATCACTTTCAGACAAAGATGGTTTTGTAGATTTAATGAAATATACACAATACGGACTACATATGAAATATGCAAATTGTCAAGAATAACATGAAGGAAACGTTGATTTCAAGATACATTGTTAAAATGCTAGGCTAAGGTGAGCTTAGCAAGGCCTTTGCCTATGAATGGATTGGTATAGGCTGAGGCCTGCATGTGTTCAGCCTTGGTAGGAGAAGTATTCTTTGAAGTATAGGTTTTAATAAAGCCAACAGCTGTGTGTAGCAAGAGCGCAGATCATACAACCAGAATAGCCTTGGGTGAATAGCAGTCCTTGGGTCTTGATGGCGTTGGATGGAGGCTTCTTGTCCCCAGGGCCTGGACCATGCGGCTGCCTCATGCGGTCCTCCCACGATCCACAGTCTAGGTGCCAAAACTCAGCAACTTCTTCAGGTTGAAGCTGGAGGCTATTGAAGGGTTGTGGAAGTCCTCTCAAACGTGGAGCTGAGGTTTGAGGCCATCTAAGAGGCCCAAAGCCCCTTGGTTGCCTGAGCAGAGCCCAGGGCAGAGCCCAGGGAGGTCTCGTCACTCCGTGGTTCCAAAGCAGACTGGGTTGTCTTCCCTTGTTGTAGAGTCGTTGGGGGAAGGGTGTTGCCATGGCACTTATCTTAAAACATTCTTGCCCACAATAAACCTGAACCACAAGGATTTACACACAGTTGAGACAGAAGTTTATAATATGTCTCAATATACAACAAAATGTCTTTGATTGAGGAAAGAGGTCATTTTAATTTATCCTACAACCCCCCCCTTTGTGTCCAGCTCCGCAAACAAAGCGAGAGGTTGACACAACACAATTTTGATTATGACCGATGACGAACGTTCACTGTCCAAGTTCTTTACGGGGCAGAGCTCTCAGTAGGAGGCGGAGTTCTCAGTAGGAGGCGGAGTTCTCAGCAGGAAGCAGAGCTCTCAGTAGGAGGCGGAGTTCTCAGCAGGAAGCAGAGCTCTCAGTAGGAGGCGGAGTTCTCAGCAGGAAGCAGAGCTCTCAGTAGGATGCGGAGTTCTCAGCAGGAAGTAGAGCTCTCAGTAGGAGGCGGAGTTCTCAGCAGGAAGCAGAGCTCTCAGTAGGAGGCGGAGCTCTCAGTAGGAGGCGGAGTTCTCAGCAGGAAGCAGAGCTCTCAGTAGGAGGCGGAGTTCTCAGCAGGAAGCAGAGCTCTCAGTAGGATGCGGAGTTCTCAGCAGGAAGCAGAGCTCTCAGTAGGATGCGGAGTTCTCAGCAGGAAGCAGAGCTCTCAGTAGGAGGCGGAGTTCTCAGCAGGAAGCAGAGCTCTCAGTAGGAGGCGGAGTTCTTAGCAGGAAGTAGAGCTCTCAGTAGGAGGCGGAGGCGAAGTTCTGCTGTAATAGAGCTCTATTGCTTATGTCACAGAGTTGGCTTTTAATTTGTCCTAACTGTGTTTGAGACAATGCCAGGAGTTGTATAGCTAAGTCTGTGTGTATGCTCTATCTAGAGTTCACTGGAGTGGTTTTATTCAGATTAACTGGTAAGAATATTTGTCTGAGCTTTTCCATTCTTTGATGGAGATAGCTAAGGCTATGGTAATAGCTGGAGGCAAAGATGCTTGTATTAGCTAATGCTAGGCTAGTAGCTGGAAGCTAATATCTGTAGCTATATGCTGTTATAATTGACAATAGAGAATGTATAAAATTTAATCTTCAAACAATTTGGAGTGTTGTTGAGGGAGGATACTTTCACTGAGACAATTCAACGTGGAGCCAAGTCTTACTGGCTTGCTTTTGCCGCAATAATGACTCTTATTTGAGCATAGATTTTCCTAGAAAAGTGACTTTGAATCTCAGATATTCTTCTATGGTTGCTCTTTTGGTAGAGCGAAAGTATAAGCAAATACGCGCAACTGGAAATTATTAACCAGTGGTGGCTCGTTTTACAACTTGGTTTGACGATTTACATGCTGGACTTACTTGCAGCGATTTTTGCTTAACCGTGCTTGTGTGGGTAGCTAATCTCACATACAGGTCTTTTGCTAAAGGTTAACGGGGAGTCGCGTTAGACCTAGCTTAAAGATCGTGGGGGGTATTGATCGGGCCCTGGACATCGCAGGTTGCCACTTACATTCACACCGAGACCCCTTTGATCGAGGGTTTACACGCTGGGGCGTACTCGCAGCGATTTACGTAAAACATGCCTGTGTGGATGGCTAGTCCCACTTCAGGATCCTTTGCTAATGGCTAACGGAACGTCGCGTTTAGTCATAGCTTTGAGATCAGGCGGTGTATTGAACGCCCCTGGAAAGTCGCAGGTGGTCATGTTCATTTACACTCGATGCCTCTTGGTTTTAAGCTTTACACGCTGGAAATCACTCTCAACCATTACGTCTTGAACTAAGTAAAGGAATAGCGCGTGAATTTGCAGGTGTGGTTTTTGGAGATGTTGTTCGGGCACAAAGCCATTAATGACTCCGTAAACTCTGCTGTCATCTCTAACCCTTCTTGACCTTCCAGGAGGTGCTGTGTGAGGGACATCTGAGTGTCTATGGGGAGGGGCCGTGGACCCCCCTTCCCCCTCTCACAGCCTGCAGATGAAGTGCTCTGATTGGCCAGATGCTTTTGGCTCTTGGGACAGGGGTGTGACATTCTGCAGCAAGAGGAAGAGCCATCTTTGATTTGAAAGTCATTTGAATTTGGAGAATTGCAGCATTTAACTTTTAAGTTTTAACTTTAGTGCGCTGGTAATGCGTTGGAGTTGTATGCATGTTTATGCTATACAAGAATAGATACTGTGAGTTTAGATTGGATTGCTCCGGTGAAGTACCTCAGTTTTCTTTGCAACAACAGTTTACAACAAGTTTGTCACAATGAATTTGTATGATTTAATTTCCAGAAATTAAGTTTGTTTTGCCCTCACTAGGGGCGCCATAATATGTAGGGTAAGAAAATGTCGATATCACACATAACTTAAGTTATGTGTGATGATGATGTGAGAGATGGCGGCGCGCAGATGGGCAGGTGCTGCGTCGCTGCCAGTCAAACCCTTCAAATTCAACAATACTCGGCCGCAATATCAAGTGATACGCGGAAAAAGGAGAATAATAGATAACAGACTCAAGATCGCTGCGTGGACTATAACATATATTATCTGCGTTACATTGAGCTCCATCCGAGCATGTCTCACTGAGTCATCTACGCCACCAGCTGATGCAAATTCCCTCTACGTTCAACCTGGGATTCCCACAGCTTATGCCTACTTGACTATATCAATTGGACACTATACATCATACCACAGTGTTCTCAGCAATGGCAAAGCAATGTTCCGTAGCACAGCGAACAACAATGGGACCCATAAATATCCATATAGCCAGCAGAAACAACTTCTTGGTTACCTGATACTGACACTCCTGCTCGCTGGCGATGTTCAGCCAAACCCGGGACCAGTCGTCATTGCGGATATGTCTCCATGCCTCTACCCCGACAGAAACCTGGACTCTGGCGAAGATGCAGAACTGCGTGGGGCGATCTACGACGACAACAGTGGTGAGTTCAATTCACCCGGCTCGCTGCTTGCTCCAGTACCAAAGGTGCTGAGCCGCGTGTGCGCACAAACAAGTTCTACACCGCGTCCAAAATCAGGGTATAAGGTGAATCCAGCCGTCGTCAAAAACAACAAATTTAGACTATTTAGAACTGTCAATCATGCTCGTGTGCTGTGGGACGCTAGAGCTAAACCAAGCGGCTTACTAGGCGGACATCTAAACATCAGAAGCGCTATACCAAAGAGCGACCAACTGCAACATCTTCTGTACCAATCGAATCTGGATTTCTTGTGTCTTTCGGAATCATGGACTCACGAGAATTCTCCCATTGATGTATTAAACGTAAATGGATATAACATGTTTAGACGGGACAGAACTGAAGGACGCGGAGGGGGCGTGTTGTTCTATGTTAATGAGAACATTAAATGTGAGCAAATCAACTGGAAAAATGACCCTGGTCTTGAATGTATTGGTCTAAAAGTTACTCTGGCTGACCAAATGTCTTTTATCTTGCTGGGACTATATAGACCCCCAAATGCAAAACATATTTTTTATGACAAGTTGAACACATTGATAAAGCAATGTGATATACATAATGAAATAATATTAATAGGAGATTTTAACATTAATTGGAATGATAAAGTAAAAAGGAAAGAATTAAAAAACATTTCCTGTAAATATGATCTTAACCAAATCATTGAGGGACCAACCAGAATCACCAATACATCTGAAACACTCATTGACCTAATTCTTACTAATAGGCCGGATCGGATCAAGAAGAGCTACAATTTAACAACTGGATTATCAGATCATAACATGATACTGTTTATAAGGAAAGTTAAAACTAAAATAAATGCATTGTCTAATATGAAACGAGAACAGCTAAAAATTCCTAAAAACAGTTACCTTTGCTTGAACAAACAATTAGGGAAACTGACTGGGCACAGTATGTTCAGGAAGATAGTCTAGAAAGTAGCTGCAGTATCTTTATGAATCGACTTAAAACAATTATAAATGGCTTCAGGAAGAAAATCACATGCAAACGAGGAAAGGGAAATAATCTGCCCTGGATAAATGGAGATATTTGGACTCTTATGAAACAAAGGGATCATGCTCTCAAAATGGCTCTTAAAAGTAAGAAAGATAATGATAGGCGATTGTTTACGTCTCTAAGAAATAAAGTCACAAAACTGATAAGAAATACAAAAGCTTCCTTTTTCATCAATGTTATAAATAATTCAAAGGGGAATGCAAAGGAAATATGGCAGAATTTAAACAAATTAACAGGAAAAAATGCTAAAGAAAATAAAATAGAGGAAACTGTCTATGAGGATGCAAGTGTAGTTGCCAATGCTCTTAATAATCATTTTGTCGCATCCATACAAAAATTGACAACTCATAACCAATCTAATTTTAAAGTCGAACCTATAAAAATTGATGCTCCCGTATTGACATTCACAGAAGTAACTCAGTCAAAGATAGAAACAATCATCTCATCTATTAAGTCCTCAAGGGCAAAGGATATCTATGATATTGATACCTTGTTTTTAAAATCAAATAAGGTAACATTAATCCCATCCTTATGTAAATTAATAAACTGGTCAATCACTGAAGGATTATTTCCCACTGCCTGGAAAACCGCTGTGATCACACCCATCTTTAAATCAGGGGATCACAAGAATAAATTGTATTGTATTGTATTGTATTGTAGTGAGACGGCAGAGGGGGTGTGAATTTGACGCGCGGTGGGACAAAGGACCAGAAAGTTATGACTCTTGGAAACCACCGGGGGACCGCGCACCTGCCATCCGCCCAAGAGCGCTCATTCTGGGGGAGGAGAGGAACGCAGCAGCAGGGTCAGGAGGCACGCTGCTCCATACCCCCGTGCTTACGGCCATACCACCTTGAGAATGCCCGATCTCGTCTGATCTCGGAAGCTAGGCAAGGTTGGGCCGCGGGGGCCAGCCGCGTATAGTGGGCATATCGTGCCAGCCAATCAGAATGAGCCTGTCAGCCATGTGCCTTTGTGATGAAGTCCAACCAATCAAAATGCAGGGATATTTACAGACGCTAGTTCAAAACCCGTCCCACCCCAAATAAATCAAACTTATTTAAAAGTTTAAAGTTAATAACTGGATCTCATTTTGACCTTAACAGCCACATTACCTTTCAAGTACATAAATGTAACTATTAGAGAGCTTCTTTGAAATGTAAAACTTGAAATGATCAGTGAATTGACAGTAATATTAACAGCAATGTCATGAAACCTTTTGACCTGCACAAAGTGTGAGTGTTTGAAAATCACAGAGGCTTTTCTATACAGATTATTATTATTTTATAATTATTTGGCCATCAGGATGCGTTTCCCCCGTTTAAAAACTGAGGGAACGGTATCTGACGGGTGTTATTTGGCCATCAGGATGCGTTTCCCCCGTTTAACAGAGGGGGAACGGTATCTGACGGGGGTTATTTGGCCATCAGATACCGTTTCCCCCGTTTTAAAACTGAGGGAACGGTATCTGACGGGGGTAATTTGGCCATAAGGACGCGTTTCCCCTGTTTAACACTGAGGGAATACATGTATATATACACATGATAGATAAATGTATTTATATATATATATTTGTGAATATATATATACATATATATATATATATATATATATATATATATATATATATATATATATATATATATATATATATATATATATATAGGCTATATATATATATATATATATATACATACATACATATTTATTTATTTATTTGTCATATCATATTATATATATATATATATATAGGCTATACTAATATAAAGTTGTCATACCTGAAAAACCAAAACAGCACAAACGATATTTTTTCTGCACAAACCAGCACTAACGAGTGTGGCTATTTTTCACTGAGTTTTGCGTGGGGTAGGGGCCAACTTCACTCAGGTGCTTTCACTGTGTCTGTAGTTGCCTCGCCGCGCAAGCACGGCTCGCTGGTTACGAGTGCTGAACAAGCACGCGCACTATTTGCCGCGTGCGAGGTGCGGGAGCGGCGCGGAGCGGGGCGGAGCGGCGAGTAGACGCAGGGGAAACAGTATCTGACGGGGAAACGCGGCTGTAACACCGGCTCTCTCTGTTTGAGAGCAGCGCCCACAAAGTTTTCCCCATAGTACTTGGATGGGAGACCGCCTGGGAATACCAGGTGCTGTAAGCATTTTGCCCCTGGAGCTCGGGCCTGGGGGCGAGCTCAACAACAGCGCGAGTTGTTGGCCCAGTCCCAATACCCACACTGCACCCTACACACCTCTTCGAAGTGTGCATTTGTTCGAAGTGCACACCAGGGTTGGAGTGCGCAGGTTACAAGTGTGCAAAAAAGGCGGAATTGGGACAGTGCACACTGAGTGCAGGTTACGTCATCGACTCGTCAAGAGACGGTCATTTTCAGACCTAAACTTTATAAACATTAAAGGTAATTTTGTCTGACCCTTTGGGAAACAAAATGATTTGCTTCACACACGTTAAAACACATGTATATTAGTTGTTTTTAATTAGAGATAGCTGTATAATTTTAAGTTAAATGTGGGTAACTAACTATCTGGTCAGTTTTTTATACATTCTAAGATTATTGTACTAAGTGTAAAGTTTAAATTGAATGTTATATAAACGCTTGCTTTAAAAAGTTATTAAATTGTTAAAACACAATGTCCGTAATTCTTCATCAGACGTTTATGCTTCTTTCCAAGTAACATAGCAAAACTTATTTACACACATACAGCATATATATTTCAAAATTTATATTTAAATGCATTTTCCCGACGTTTTGGTGTGTACCGCAAAGAATTATGGGCAATATCCTTCGCCAGAGTGCGCATAGATGCAGGCTACGGCGAAGTGTGGATCAGGGGCGCAAAGGGGGCGGGGCCAAAGACCTCCCTGGAGAATTGGGGCTGTACACTACGCACTCGCACCCTTTATCGGGAACGCGCAAATGAGGGGCGCGAGGGTGGAAGTGCGAGTATTGGGACGGGGCCTTTATCTCCATTGAGTTTGCCCAGAGAAGTCCTGTGTTTAAGGTCCAAAATTAACACAAAAATGCACATCACTTTTAGACATTTTTGCCAGAATTGTGCAGCCCTCCTGACGGTAATCCTGGACGTTCTGGTGCTGCTCGCAACACCGCTCCTCACCTTGGATCAACGTTTGGTTTGCGGACAGATCCAAGATGGCAGCCCTCCCCGCTCCTCCGTAATCCCGATCCGACAGGTGGGTTCTCCGGCGGGATTAAGCCTGTACAATCGTGGCTTTGTGCTGAATTAAAATCAGAATCAATATGGAAAATGCGGATAATTAGACGTTTTAGGGCCATGTCAGGGAGGCTGCTGCGGGGATCCAGGCGCGGCTTCTCCACGCTCTGCTCAGCGCACGTTAAACTCATTCAGGTTTGGATTAGGACTTCATGAAGCCTGAAGCCACGGTGACAACATGTAAAAGAGGATTCTGAAAACGAAAAATATCTGAGAGAAAATACAGCCTTTGATATTTCCACCACAATAGTGAATAAGTCATTCCCCTTCTCGACACAAAAGGCTTATTCATTGTTAACGTATCATATATATATATATATAACCTATTTATTAGCAAACATGATTTTAATGACATTTATTCCAACATTTTGTATTTTAGAAATGTAAATAATCTATTTTGAAAAGATTTGTTATGAAGAATGGCATACATAATTACAACCTTCAAACACACACACACACACACACACACACACACACACTATATAAAAGCTCAGTGAGAAAGCAATTACAAACTATGTATATAAAAAACCAAAATAATAATAAAAAGGTATCTTACAACAGAGGCACAGGAAAAAAAACAAATTACGTACATTTTAGAAAAGGAAAATAATTAAAATTGAAGTGACATACCATACCATCAACCAAACACTAAAAAGATCAATCAATCAATCAATCAACGTTTATTTGTAGAGCGCCTTTCCTACACAAGGCAACGCAAACTATCAAAAACATTCAAAATCTCAATCTCAAATACTACATAAACTCAAAAAGGTGTGGGAGGATTCACATCCATTTGTTTGGAGCCAGTGGCAAACAAACAAGAACATTCAATTCAGTTCAATCTATCTATCTTTTAAACAGCCCTAAATCACAACAGTAGTTATCTCAGAGGACTTTACAAAACCGTTGAATTCACCAAAACAGATCAGAGAATCAAACAGTTCAAACACAAGAAATGTAATGATAAAAACACATAGAGCCGTTGGTCCGTAAAAGGCAGAGACCGATATCCATAAATGTTAAAAACATTCAAAATGTTTCTTTTGAATTTTCTGGAAAACGGCTGTCTCTGAAACAGTTGTTTTTTTTTGTGCTTTTCTCCCTGAGATGTTGGTAAGTTAAAGGTGCACTTTATCAATCCCCATAGGGTTAGCAATTCAATCTTCTGCATTTGACCCATCCTGATGCCACTAAGGCTTACGTCAGGAGCAGAGGTCGCCGTAGTAACAGCGCCTGCGAACCCATTGACGCTTGGCTCGGTCAGGACTGGAGCTGGAGGATTTAACCTAGAGAACATGTTTATAGTGGTAGGGGAAACCGGAGTACCCGGAGGAAACCCACACAGGCACAGGGAGAACATGCAAACTCCACTCAGAAAGACCCTGTTCCGAACGGGATTCGAACCCAGGACCTTCTTGCTGAGAAGCGAGAGTGCGATCCACTCAGCCACCGTGTCGCCACTACAGTGTTCATGGTTTTACATTGGTCCAGACCAGAGCAGAGAGGATTCATGGTCAAAACCACCGGATCAGGCAAAAATCAACTGGAGGAATGCTAACTTTTTTAAATTTGCTAATGGACAAGAGCAGAGAAAATGGTCCGAACCAAGCGCCTACTCCATCTCTGCTGCTGTGACCCGTCCTGCTCCACCCAGAGGCTACTCCACCTCTGCTGCTGTGACCCGTCCTGCTTCACCCAGAGGCTACTCCACCTCTGCTGCTGTGACCCGTCCTGCTCCACCCAGAGGCTACTCCACCTCTGCTGCTGTGACCCGTCCTGCTCCACCCAGAGGCTACTCCACCTCTGCTGCTGTGACCCGTCCTGCTTCACCCAGAGGCTGCTGCTGCTGTGGCCTATAGGACTGCAGCTAATTATTGTTAGCTTTTTAGAATGATCAATTACATTTTTTTTTATTTTTGCTGCTACTGGACACATGAATACCTCCTAAGGGGATCAATAAAGTATCTATCAATCTATCTATCTATCCAACATGTCCATAAAGTTTTGCACCAGGCTGCAATACTTCACCGTCTTTATACCTTTTGTCCAGTTTTGGTTCACTCCAAGCTAAACTGTAATATTTGCAAAAAGGCCCATTTAAATCATATTCAATTTGCTGAAAAAACCCTCCCATAATGCAGCAGTAACATGGCTAAAAAACCTCAAAAAAGGCCATTTTTGTACAGCATGTCCACTTTATTATGAATGTTGCTTTACAGATGGGTCAAACGTATTACAGTTTACCCATGCAGATGAGTCCCATTACACCTCGCTCACCTGCACCTATCACACACACACTGATTTATTCCCGCCCGTATCAGTCGCGCGGCGCCCTGAATCATTTCCCTCCTACATTTAGATGCAAATTCGGCCTCCTGGCTCCACAAAAGAGCGCGCGCCATCATTGTCTCACCGTGCGGCTGAGATGGATTCCCCCTCACGCCGCCACACCATTCATACCTCCAGCACCGGCCCCGAAAAGGTAAACAACACCAGCCTGGCTTTGTGGAAATGTCACCAGAGAGACAGCGGCGGCGTGAGAGCAGACGGAAAGTGTGTGTGTGTGTGTGTGTGTGTGTGTGTGTGTGTGTGTGTGTGTGTGTGTGTGTGTGTGTGTGTGTGAGATGTTAACAAATGTGAGAAAAGTAGAAAATAGACCCTTAGAAAGATTGGCCACGTTTACACCACAGACTGTTGAAAATAGAGAGAGACCAAATAGATTTCAACGTCACTTCTGCTCACTCCTTCGCAGACTCTGCTCATTCATTACAATGAGACACACGTTGTTTTGAAAGACCCATTATCCATTGTACGAGTGACGTCATGTTCAAACGGGGAGAGGCGTAAGTATGTAGAACAACTTCACTGCCCGACAAGTACGTCAAGACCTGCCTTATTCTTTATAATTGTGTAATGTGATGGAATTGGATGCCCATTTAAGTACATCACATTTTTTGTTTACATCAGCACAGAATACGTTGACATTATCCTGGCCTTATCCATCCGTACACTCAGCTCTATCATCATTTCACTGCATGTAACGTCTGGGTCTGGTCCCTGTGTTAGCGATTACAATCGGTTGAATTTCGACCGACCATTCAGAGAGAGCTGAAGGCAGGTGTTTAGGCAGGTATTTAGTTGTGGGTGACGTCAAGAGTTTGCGTCGAACGGGAAGGTTGTAGTTTGGCAATGGCGAAAAATGCGATAGTAAAGTATTCCGGTCTGGTTCTATCAAGAAATTGAAGCCGGAGCAATAGGAATGTTTAGCAAATGTAATCGCTAGAAAAAATGGTGGCGCTACTCCCCACGGGCTCCGTTAGCGGCAAAGGAGATGGCTAGGCTAAATGCTAAATGCTAGCAACAGACACGGGCGCATTGCATACGTCACGGTAAACTCAGATCCAATCGTTTCAATCTGCAAAAGGAGTTAACCCCTCCCACCTGTAAACGGAGCTCAATGGAGCAAATCCAGACCTTAGTATGAAATGTAATTTATACTATGGTATGGTACGACCAGGCTACGTTGGCATTAAAGCTGACACAAACACAAAGCACATTTAAGTAACTTCACCTCAAAAGTGTTGGAAAGAAGCAGTTCTCAGCAGACTGACATTTGGTGCAGACTGGTTCAGGCTGGTTCAGTGGGGTCTCTGGGGACGGACCTGATCCCAACGGGCTCCAGATTAGTATGAAAGTCCAGAGTCCAGGCTCCAGTCCAAACCTGTCTGTGTCAGAGAAGAGAAAGAAGACAGGCAGACTATATCCAAAAGTTCACAAAAACGTACAACTATTGGTGCTACTTTTAGTTGTATTTGTATTTTAGGGTTTTCTTATTCATCAGTTTAGATAAGACAAGGGCAGGACAATGTCCGGGTGGTTAGCACTATCAGAATCGGGCCTTTCTGAGTATGATTAGTTTTAATAAAAATAAGAGGTCCTTTATTCCTCCCACAGTGGGGAAATGTCAATGTTGCTGCTATGTTTCTTAGCTAGCTGTAAAAGGCAAGGCAAGTTTATTTGTATAGCACAATTCATACACAAGGCAACTCAAAGTGCTGAACAAAACAAGAAAGCATTAAAATCAGAAATAATCACAGTACATTAAAAAGAAAGATAAAAATATAAAATCCCTCAGTTGTATGCACAGCTAAACAGAACTGTTTTTAACCTGGTTTTAAACATTGTCAGAGAGGAGGCCTGTCTCACATCTTCAGGAAGACTGTTTCAGATTTTAGCAGCATGAATCTGAAAAGCAGCCTCCCCATGTTTAGTTCTGACTCTGGGCACTAACAGGAGTCCAGTCCCTGTGCTCCTCAGAGTCCGGGCCGGTTCATATGGGACTAACATGTCACTAACATATTTTGGTGCGAGGCCATGGAGAGACTTGTACACAAGCAGAGCTGTTTTAAAGTCTATTCTCTGAGCCACAGGAAGCCAGTGCATTCAAGCAAATGCTTCATCATCAACATTATTATATTATATAAGTCTGTCACAGGAGCTGCTCTCCAGAGGAGACAGAGTGTCCTGCAGGGGGCGACAGTCATGGTCCACATAGACGTTAGTTTGTCCAGGACCCTCCTGTCCCCCACCTGCTGCACTGTGTCCAGAGAACAGCCCAGGACTGAGCTGGACCTCCTGATGATCTTGCATGTTCTTCTTTTGTCTCTGTGGGTTGTGGGTGCTCGTGTTTCCCCTGCCACTACAAACCTGTAAAAAGGTAATATCCATTAGTCCACACCATGTAGAGATGAGTCCCAGACCTCTGGAGTTGCAGGACGGGTCAAATGTCTGCGGAGAAATAACTTAATTGTCACCAGATGGAGATATTTGTCTTGGGCCTCCGAGGTTCGAGGGAGACATCACATACTCAGACCCACACAGAACAACACATTGTCACAAGTACACACAAACACACACACACAAATTGCGTTGCTGGTTCCATGTTCGTATGGCGCTGACTCAGCTCATCACCTGACCTCCCAGTCGACCAATCAGTTTTGGACTTCAGACCCTCCCTGCACCTGAGGTCATTAGTCCAGCCTGGACCAGTCCTAACGGAGACCCCAGTGCTGACAGAGAGGATTGTGGGTAATGAGCACACTGGAGTCAATGACAAAGGTACCAACAACAAAGCGGAGGAGGGCTCTCAGTGTCAGGACTTCAGTCCCGTCTCAGTCAGGAGCCTGGTTTAGTTTCCATACTCAGAAAAGTCCAGATTAGTGCTGCACCATTAATCACAATCAAAGTAAAATAACCATTCTGCTTTGATTCTTTGTCAAATTAAATTAAAGACGGTAAAAACTGAATTCCATTGCAAACTAAAAAGAGACACATTAAGTTAAAACAACACTTGAATTTGAGAAAATGTTTCTTGGTTGTATACATAAAGATTCAATTTAGCTTTTTTTTACTGTAAGTTACTACTACTGACAACTGTGAAGTGAATCTTTATGTTATGGTTCTAAAGCTGTATTAATACTTTGGCGAGGCACTGTCACGGGTATTTCCCCTTTCACACGTCGAAAATCTTGGAGTCTTTTGTGGAAGTTGTGGATGAGGTTCTGTATCCTCTGATGGTAAAGCTGCCCATTCTTTGTAAGTAAGTAATATTTATTTATATAGCACATTTCACAAACCAGAGTCACAAAGCACTTTACAATTGTGGGCATTTGTCTCTCACTCCACACAGAGATGGGAGCGGGGCCAGTACAGGAAGCACATGTCAGACCTATCGTAGAAGTTTTTAGTGGAAGGGAAACCCGGAGCACCCGGAGGAAACCTACACAGACACTGGGAAAACATACAAACTCCACTCAGAATGGCCCTGTTCTGACCGGGATTCAAATCCAGGACCTTCTGAACTCAGCCCATTCTTCTTGGCAAAAAGTCTCCAGTTCCTGTACATTACTTACAGATTTAGTTACATTTCCACGTTTAATCTCTCTTCACAGCTGCTCATTGATGTTATAATTTGAAAAAAAAAGAAAACACATTTATTTTACAATGAATGGTTTCATTTCTAACAATGAGTCGTTCTGTTCATTCACAATCTTTAAAATATGACCAAAGTAATATACAGTACTTTCAAGCACAACTTTATGTTTCTGGTCCAACGTAAACATGTCATCAGTCACACACTATAATCAAACCACTTTTTCTCCTTCTTTTTTCACTTTTAAAGCCGAAAACATTCCCGGCGCCCCTCCTTTCTGCCGTCGACTTCAGCTTGGACTCATCCCCGTATCGGCTCCATCAGTCTCGCTTCGTCGCTAATCCTCTCCTCCTCAAACCGCCGCGACGTGACTGCATTTAAATTCACAATCCGAGCTCCAATCCTCCCCAGCAGCCGCCATTATCAGAGCGGGATAGGGGGGCATCATTAGGGGCCCGGCGAGCGCAGCCTCCGATTGGCCTGGCAGATGCAACGCAGCCACGCCATTGGTCCAGAGGTGCTGCGGGATTAGGAAGTGCAGTCAGGTGGAGGTGCAGATATGGCAGTCAGGTGTAAGTCTGCAGCTCTCGGATCAAGAGCTTTTTCCTTGTTTGGTATGATTGGAAATATTACCCAGTCCAACTCATCAATAATAGTATGCAGATAAGTCAAGCTTTGTGGGGAGTTGGAGGTTCAGATGAAGCTAAAAATACGACCAACAATGGTCCAGGATCCAAATAATAAGGGTTAGGGTTACGGTTGGGGTTAAATAATCCATACATTATTTGGCAAACTACTTCATGGTGACGGACATCCATCCTGAGAGCCTTTTGAATGTGGTCAGTTCCACCCATCTCCAGGTGTTGTATTAATTAGAATACATACAGATACAAAATATCTGTTTTTAGTCTTGACTGCTACACCGAGGTTTCCTACTTTCCTTTGTTTATAATTAATCTTTTGCATCTGATTTTGAATTATTTTTTTTAAACCAATTGTGAGCTTGTATTTTATTCGACTTTAACTTTAAATGAGTTCATGATTGGACAGAACCGAAACTGGACCAAAAGTGAGAAAAAAGGTATTACTAAAAGTTACCAATTATTATTCATAACTGTGTCCTGGGTTGAAAGTTTAGAATCAAATAAAATATAGTTTCTTATATCTTATTTCTTATATTTCACAATACTGTATAACATGCCATTGTAGCTCATATTATTGACTTCTTGCTATCAATGTTTGTAAGTTTAGAAAATAGTTGTGCATACCCCTGGTTGGGAAACGCTGGGCAGAATGGAGTTGTCCCACTTTTAAAGCTGGGGTACAGATAGGTGACCCGTCCGAACTTGGAACAGCTCTATTATTATGGATGAATCTTTGCACTCAGAACAGGTGCTGTAGAGCTGACTGGTGAGAAGATCACAGAGAGGTGCACTTCCACCTTCAGCCACAGGGGGCAGGCTGCATTATTCAGCACATAACACCTCCATCTTCACTGTGCACCTCTGCTTCTTCAAAACCATCACGCTCTATTATGTTTTATGCAGCCGAGCACTGCATCTTTTTCACTTTACCAATCCAAAACATTTCTATTACCGTATGTGAAAACAGTTCAGGGCCTTTAAAGTAGCAACATGTAAGATTTTCATGTTAAGTCATCATTAAAGGGCCCTAATCTGTCAAAAGGCATTAACAAAACGTGTTCTCTTAAAATACTTATTTAACTCATAAAAGTGGTTCAGAGATATTTGGATTTCAAAATTATTTTTTCCAGACCCTAAATCTTGTAATTGTTTTCATTTCGATGTCCCGCCCTCCACCGTTTTACCAATCAGAAAGTCTGTGATCCAGGTTGCCAGAACTCCCCGCGTCAAGCTAATCTCACTGGGAGTAAGTAAGGAATAAAACCAGGATTTCTATCTTTGTGAAAAAGTTGTTGGTTATAGATTTGTTATTGACAAAACTCTTTTCTATTCAGATATTGTGGTCCCAGTTGGATTTGTCTGCATATCTGGCAACCTGAGTCAGGGAGTGTGGGGGAAGTTGCAATACCACGTTTGGCCAGATTTTTACATATTTCTCCTTTAAAGTTTGGGAACCTCACTTTTCTGTATGAAGAAAAATGTGAAGTCAGACCACAACATGCTCTCTTCATCTTTTTGTCAAACTTTTCATAACTTTCACACTTCTTAGAGAGAGCATTGTATAGCATACTTTTCTGTCTGGAAAAGTTGATCCTTTCCACCTCAGGAACTTCGGGGTAATTTTCCAGGGCCAGCCCCGTCGGTGCGGGTCTCCACTGCATGACCCTCCCCCATAGGGCAATTTACAGGAACTTTTACGGGGCCCAATGGAGTCCCACCTCCATGGTTTGTACTCGGTTGGGCTCTGGTGGGACTGGAGGTTATCCCAACGCTGATTGGCTAAAGCTAGCGCAGGTTCAGGCACTCAGACGCCAGCAGAAAGCAGCAAAACGACTGGCATTTGCCCAGCAGCATTTGCCCAGCAGACACTACTGGAAAAAGCGAACAACAGCACGGTGATTCAGACGTGGGGTTTGAAGCATCGCGGCGAAATGAAAAGATATATTTAGACATACAGTATCAGCTTCAGCTCGAAGCACTGAGGATTCATGACACTCTAAAATAAGCCGTGAAAAGTTTTAAAACACTGAAGCAGGTGTGAGATCCCTGACACAGGACTACAAAAACTCAAAGACTCCAACAACCGGAGCTGTCACAAACGTAAAATGAACAAATGGTTTTGGCGCATGGATCTATAATAACGGGTTTGGCGCAATGAGGTTCGCTTATTCGGCAATCGAAACATATGACGTCGCCGAGAGGTCCTACTGCAGTGGAGAGGACTGAGAGAGAGGAAGGTTCCTGAAAAAGTTCCACCCCGCTCCTTTTACCAGGAGCTCCTGCGGTGAAAAACCAAGCCTAAAAAAACATTGGAAATTAGGTCCGCCCCCAACAACAGGGACAGGGCCCGTGGCTGAGCTAGAGACATGGACTTGATTACAATGTTGTACCTCGGCTCATAAACAGACCCGGTGTCGTGTTTAGCTTCATCAACAATAATATCATTGATTGTTCCTGTGTCCCATGTGTCCCTGCTCATTCTGTTTATGTTCCCTATTCACAAACACAAATCGTTTTCCGCCTTTTTAAACACACATTTCCCTTTAATTTAGATTTGAGAGTCCCTCCGGTCAAATAATGTCCTTTAAATTCGTCTGCATTCACCCAGAGACATTTTTGACATCTATTATGAGGATGTAAATGAAGAGTTCATTTGCAAAACCAGAAATTTCCGTTTTGAAAATGTGTCAAAAGTTGAATTTCTTTAGTCACGTGTTTTCTTATTGGCAGTACATTTGAAAGGATTTTCACAATGAGGGGTATTTGCATAGCACTAAAATACACCTGGCTTTTCAAAAAAATGACTTGGTAAAAGGCAAATTGTAAGTTATTTTCTAATTTTTATGTTTTTGCAAATTTCACAATTCAAACTCTCTTTCCCATTGTTAGATTTGAGTGTTTTCGGTTATCCCAAATATCCCAGGGCAGCTGTGGCTACTGCAGTAGTTTACTTCCATAGTGTGCAGAGTAATGTAAGTGTTTCTGGTGTCAGGAAAAGCACTGTATAAATACGATAAAATAAATATATATACAAATATTTATTCTATTTAGTCCGACAAGGTTCATTTGGTCTTCTGATTCTACAATTCATACATCACGTGACCACTCTGGAGATGACTGTCATTCACTCATTTAACAACATTCACTCCATACATTGTGGTGTATGGAGTGAAGGAATAATGTGAGTGTCAGAAAGTAGTACATAAAAGCCCTGCATTAGTATTATTATTATCGTTAAATACATATAGAAGTGGTCTAGAAGTATTGATTCTTGTCGCTCCAAATGTAAGCGCAAAATGACTAATTTTATTATCCAACCAAGATTGCTTGTTTCGTTTTAGACTATATCTTATTTTTCTGGCTTCAGGCCTAATTATGCACCGCAGGAATGAGATTGCAGTGAAATAAGAACAAAGTCTCAGGTGTGTTTAAAGCTGCGGTGGCAGAATCGCTGCATCAGACTCACAGGTCTCACAATCCTGTCGCCGACTCAGAAACGGACTTTCAACCGCCTCAAAAAAATAAAACAGTAACATCTCATTTAAAGCATGAAACAGAATGACCCTAAAAACCAATGAGGTGCATCTGTTATGCCTCAGCAGCTAAGCTGTGAAGG